GACCTGTCATACACCATAGAGAGTGGCACACTTAATGCTTCTGCACCTTCTTTTAGTATCCAAGGTGAGATTTTGTCAGGCCCAACAGCCTTTGTCACATTCAGCTCCAACAGATTCCTTTTGACCTCATCATTGGTGAGGTCAAATTCCTCAGGTTGCTCAGTTTGAATCCTCATTTAGTGCAGGGACCTCTCTTTGATCTATTGTGAAGACCTCCTGGAATCTCTTGTTGAGTTCTTCACACACCTCCTTGTCGTTCTCTGTGTATCTGTTCTCCCTTTTCTCAGTTTCATCACTTTTTCCTTCACTGCTGTTTTCCTCCTGATGTGGCTGTGGAGCAGCTTTGGTTGGATCTTGGCTTTACTCGCGATGTCATTTTCATATTGTCTCTCTGCTTCTTTCCTCACTCTGAGGTACTCATTTCTGGCCCTCTGGTATCTCTCCCTGCTCTCTGGTGTTCTGTTGTTCCTGTAGTTTCTCCATGTTCTTGTACTCAATAGCTTCGCTGCTGCACATTCCTGGTTGAACCACGGATTCTTCTGTTGCTTTTCATTTTTCTCTTTTTGGACTAGGATAAACCTGTCTGCAGCCTCCTGACAGTTATGGGTGACATAATCCATCATATCCTGTACAGTCTTTTTTCTGAGTTCTATTTCCCATGGTATTTCCATTAGGAAGTTCCTCATCTAGTCATATTTTCCTCTTCGGTAATATAGTCTTTTTCCTTCCAATCCCATCCTTGGATAGGTTATCCCTACTTCTACCAGATACTCAAATATCAATACACTGTGGTCACTCATTACTATGGGGGATGCAAATATGATTTCCCTTATTTCTGAATCGTTCAAGGTGAATATCAGGTCGAGTCTAGCTGGTTCGTCATTTCCTTTTATTCTTGTGGGTTCCCTGACATGTTGGCTCAGATAGTTCCTTGTAGTCACTTCCAAGAGTTTAGCTCTCCATGTAACTTCACCTCCATGTGGGTCCCCATTCTCCCAGTCTATCTTTCCATGATTGAAATCGCCGTGATTAAGAGTCTGGAGCCATTCTTGCAGGCAACTGAAGCCGCTCTCTCTATTATATTAATGGTAGCCATGTTGTTCCTGTCGAACAACATGGGTCTGGGTCTTCTGTCATTTAGGGGAGGGTTGTAAATGACTGCCACTATTATCTTAGGTCCACCCATTGTTATAGTTCCTGTTATGTAGTCTCTGAATCCGTCACAGCCCAAAATTTCCATCTCTTCGAAGCTCCAGTCCTTCCTTATCAGCAGGGCCACTCCTCCACCTCCTCTCCCTTCCCTCTCTGTCCTTACTATATAGTAGTCCTTTGGAAACACAGCATTTGTTATGACTCCTGACAATTTTGTTTCTGTGAGCCCTATTACATCTGGGGTTTCTTCCTGCGCCCTTTCTGCCAGTTCACTTGCTTTGTTGGTAATCCCATCAATGTTTGAGTACATTACCTTGAAGCTCACTTTCCAATATCCATTTTCACCCACCCTCTCCACTAGTGCAGGAAGCTGTTCCATGGCCATTGCTGCTTGGATAGGCTCATCCTCCTGTGGGGTAGTTACCAGGGGTTCTGGGGGAGGTGAGGGTGGGGAGAATTCCTAGGGGTGGAGGGGGCAGGGAGTGCTCGAGGTTGGGGGGACAGTGTGAGAGACAACAGCAGCAGCAGCAGCAGCAGCAGGAAGGAGGGCAGCAGTGTGCCAGGGGCCTCAGCTTTAACCCTAGCAGCGTCACCAGAGACCCCAGCCTTACTGCAGCTGATCTGCTGCTGATCGCCGCTATCAAACACCTCCACCGTTATTGAAACTCCCTCACCGGGTAAAAAGTCTATGTAAATAAAAAGAAAATTATATATATATGTATATGTATATATATATATATATATATATATATATATATATATATATATATATATATATATATATATAAACGGACGGACATAGGCTGTCCCGACCCAATGCTTAAGTCAAATAGCTTTAAAATATCTCAGCCTAGCATATTATCCCCCACATGCGCATTTCATGGTCTTAAATGAAATCAGGGATATGATTTCCGTACAGTTTATCGCTTTTATCAAAAAAGTTTGAACTGAATTCATTCGGGTTACAATGGTGAAAACAGCATGGACAGACTAGCCTGTCTGTCCAATGATGGCCACTGTCTGGCCAGTCTTGGTCAGCCACAGTGTTTCCCTGTAAGAAATATTGGCATCCATAGCGACCCCCTTTTTGGGATTTTCTCTAAGTCTGAAATTATATATTTGTTTTCCGTAGAGTTTTTAATAGTTTATTTTGGGCCATCTGTAATAGATTAATTTCTGAGAGTCAAGTGATGAGTGAGTTCTATTGTCAGCCATAATCCTGGGTTCGAAATTCCAGCTGGAACAGAAACAAATTGGCAATGTTTCCTTTCACCTCACGCGTCTGTTCACCTTGCATTAAACAGGCTCCTAAGTGTTAAACAGTTTCTGGGGCTGCATCCTACACACACACACACACACACACACACACACACACACACACACACACACACACACACACACACACACACACACACACACACACTCACACTCACACTCACACTCACACTCGTCCAGTAACAAAACAAGGGGAGGACTGACTGGGGACCAATCCATAACTGTTCACCCTCGTTCACCCAGCAGTAATTGACGGGTCGTGTTCCAGGGAAAAGTAGTAGGATAAGGCTTACCATACCTAGAACATACCTGGAGAGGGTTCTGGGAGTTCTACTCCCCGAGGCCAGGCTCGACTTGTGATAACTTTCTCCAACAGGCTGTTGCTTGGAGCGGCCCGCAGGCGCACACATCCACTACAGCCTGGTTGGTCCGGCACGTCTTGCAAGAACTTGTCTAAGTGCCTCTTGAATACATCCACCTTTGTTCCAGCAATATTTCTAATGCTTTCTGGGAGGGTGTTGAACGGCTGTGGACTTCTGATGTTCAGACAGTGTTCTCTGATTGTGCCTATGGCACCTCTACTCTTCACTGGACCTCTGATGTTCAGTGATCTCTGATTGTGTCTATGGCACCTCTACTCTTCACTGGACCTCTGATGTTCAGTGTTCTCTGATTGTGCCTATGGCACCTCTACTCTTCACTGGACCTCTGATGTTCAGTGATCTCTGATTGTGTCTATGGCACCTCTACTCTTCACTGGACCTCTGATGTTCAGTGTTCTCTGATTGTGCCTATGGCACCTCTACTCTTCACTGGACCTCTGATGTTCAGTGTTCTCTGATTGTGCCTATGGCACCTCTACTCTTCACTGGTTCTATTCTGCATTTCCTTCTGTGCCTTTCGCTCCAGTATGTTGTTATTCTACTGTACACATTTGGGAGCTGGCCCTCCAGTATCTTCCATGTATATATTATTTGATAACTTTCTCGTCTCCTTTCCAGAGAGTGCATTTTGAGAGCTTTGAGACGGTCCCAATAATTTAGATGTCTTATCGTGTCTATGTGTGCCCAATATGTTCCCTGTATTCCCCTCTAATTCAGAAATCCCTTACTTGCTTAATCTTTGTCACCTGGTCGTAGAATTGTGCTAGACCTGTGAGGCAAGATTTACCATCCCTGAACCCATGTTGGTGGTGTGTCACCAAGTCCCTTCTCTCTCTCTCTCTCTCTCTCTCTCTCTCTCTCTCTCTCTCTCTCTCTCTCTCTCTCTCTCTCTCTCTCTCTCTCTCTCTCTCTCTCTCTCTCGAGGCACTCCAAGGGATATTTGTGAGTGAATGTTTATCAAAATATATAAGATAAGAATAAAGTTAGATATATATATATACACACATACCAAAAGAATAGGGGTGGTAGGAGAAGAAAATATCAAAGTGTTCATTCAGTGAGGATCCACAAGATCCTCTCTGAGTACTCTTTATTTTCTTCTCCAAGGCTATGGGTCCCTACACTTGCACCAGAGGAGGTACCTCTTCTAGGTAAGATAAGAATACATGAAATCTTTCAGAAAACTGACGAAAATACTTACATAGTGGGCGAATTAAATTCTTAATAATAATACTAATAATTAAGAACTTTACTAATTAATAATTGACACGTTACTAATGTGAAAGTATAAAATGGAAATATTTATTTAGTCAAAGTCTTTATTCAGTGAAAGTATTGATCTAGAGAATATATTTTATGTATTATTTTATATTATATATATTCTATATATATATTTTATATATTATATTTATATTATATATATTCTCTATATATATTTTATATATTATATTTATATTATGCAGTCCAAGTGAAAATATTAATCCTGTGAAACTCTTTGATTATTTGAAAAATCACACTTTCAATCGAGTGAAAGCACCAGTCATCATTAAGTGAAAGCATCAATCGAGTGAAAGCACCAGTCATTATTAAGTGAAAGCATCAATCGAGTGAAAGCACCAGTCATCATTAAGTGAAAGCATCAATCGAGTGAAAGCACCAGTCATTATTAAGTGAAAGCATCAATCGAGTGAAAGCACCAGTCATTATTAAGTGAAAGCATCAATCGAGTGAAAGCACCAGTCATCATTAAGTGAAAGCATCAATCGAGTGAAAGCACCAGTCATCATTAAGTGAAAGCATCAATCGAGTGAAAGCACCAGTCATTATTAAGTGAAAGCATCAATCGAGTGAAAACATCAATCAACTGAGATCATAAATAAACAGAAAACATCAATCTAGCGAAAGCATCGATCAAGAGAAAGGATCAATCGAGAGAAAGCATCCAGCCAGTGATTAACGAAGCATTAATAAACTAATTACAATTAAACAAGTACAAGAATGAATCAAGTGAAATAAGTAAAAAAAAGTGAAAGCAATCAAATGAAAGCAGTGACGGAAGTCTAAAGGAAGTAAATCATCTGAAACCAGCAAAAAAATGAAAGAAGCAATCGAGTGAAAGCAGTAATGAAAGCCCAGCTAGAGTGAAAGCTAACGACCCAATCCAACGTAACACACACGTAGTTAACTCACCAGGTAGTCCGTTCCTGATCCTGCCTCACGACCATTATACGCCAAGCATACCTGTGGGTACAACATACTCAAGTCATCACATATGCTAAACATAGCCCATGATGCAGTACTCCACTGCACACACACCCACACACTCCCATGTTGCGGTGTGTGTGTGTGTGTGTGTGTGTGTGTGTGTGTGTGTGTGTGTGTGTGTGTGTGTGTGTGTGTGTGTGTGTGTACTCACCTAGTTGTGTCTGCAGGATCGAGCATTGACTCTTGGATCCCGCCTTTCGAGCATCGGTTGTTTACAGCAATGACTCCTGTCCCATTTCCCTATCATACCTGGTTTTAAAATTATGAATAGTATTTGCTTCCACAACCTGTTCCTGAAGTGCATTCCATTTCCCCACTACTCTCACGCTAAAAGAAAACTTCCTAACATCTCTGTGACTCATCTGAGTTTCAAGCTTCCATCCATGTCCTCTCGTTCTGTTACTATTCCGTGTGAACATTTCGTCTATGTCCACTCTGTCAATCCCTCTGAGTATCTTATACGTTCCTATCATGTCCCCCTCTCCCTTCTTGTTTCTAGTGTCGTAAGGCACAGTTCCCTCAGGCGCTCCTCATACCCCATCCCTCGTAGCTCTGGGACGAGTCTCGTTGCAAACCTCTGAACCTTTTCCAGTTTCATTATATGCTTCTTCAGATGGGGACTCCATGATGAGGCGGCATACTCTAAGACTGGCCTTACGTAGGCAGTGTAAAGCGCCCTAAATGCCTCCTTACTTAGGTTTCTGAATGATGTTCTAACTTTTGCCAGTGTAGAGTACGCTGCTGTCGTTATCCTATTTATATGTGCCTCAGGAGATAGATAAGGTGTTACGTCCACCCCCAGGTCTCTTTCACGCGTCGTTACAGGTAGGGTCACGCGTCGTTGTGTGTGTGTGTGTGTGTTTACTAGTTGTGTTTACTAGTTGTGTTTTTGCGGGGGTTGAGCTTTGCTCTTTCGGCCCGCCTCTCAACTGTCAATCAACTGTTTACTAACTACTTTTTTTTTCCCACACCACACACACACACCCCAGGAAGCAGCCCGTGACAGCTGACTAACTCCCAGGTACCTATTTACTGCTAGGTAACAGGGGCACTTAGGGTGAAAGAAACTTTGCCCATTTGTTTCTGCCTCGTGCGGGAATCGAACCCGCGCCACAGAATTACGAGTCCTGCGCGCTATCCACCAGGCTACGAGGCCCCCTGTGTGTGTGTGTGTGTGTGTGTGTGTGTGTGTGTGTGTGTGTGTGTGTGTGTGTGTGTGTGTGTGTGTGTGTGTGTGTGTGTGTGTGTGGGAGGAAGGTCACCCCCACCATTCTCCCATACACCACGATCAATACTCCCTGGCTGCTACTCCCACCCCCACACACCGCCCACTATCCACCCCCGCCCACATGGCTAGGAATCCTCCCCCACCCCCATTCCGCCCACACACATGGATATAACATTGTGGGATCAACCGGGCTGTGGTGGATATGTCGGCCTGCGGGCCGCTCCAAGCAACAGCCTGGTGGACCAAGTTCTCACAAGTCAAACCTGGCCTCGGGCCGGGCTTGGAGAGTAGACCAACTCTCAGATCCCCATCATCAGGTATATCTGGAGTATATCTGGTATATTTACGTATACCCAGACCTCCCTTTAGTTGCTTAACTACGTCTAAGAATGCCGTATATGTTCTCTGAATTCCTCCTATTTAAAACAAATCTGTGCTGGCAACATTGCTATCACAGACCGAGGGACAGGAATATTAGGATAGTCGTCCTATGATTGCCTCGCCTGCTGCCGTGTCATCTTTGCTGTGCTAACTCATTCCATAACCCATTATCCCCAGAACCGTCACACACGTTGTATTTCTTCTACGAGGAGAGGGGACTGTCCTGTATTCCACGGAAGCGCTTGATGAGTGCCATATGCAAGTATCTGCAATTCATCATTGTTAGAAATCCTGTTTCACACAGAGATCACACTAACGTGATGCATCACAATGAACAAATCCACAAGGGCCATGACGAGGATTCGAACCTGCGTCCGGGAGCATCCCAGACGCTGCCTTAATCGACTGAGCTACGACAGGGTAAAAACCCTGTCGCCCTTTTACCCTGTCGTAGCTCAGTCGATTAAGGCAGTGTCTGGGATGCTCCCAGACGCAGGTTCGAATCCTCGTCACGGCCCTTGTGGATTTGTTCAGTTAAATCCTGTTTATTTTCTATTGCCCAGAGGAAGACTTGATACCTCACTGTAGTGTTCAGTGCCTTCTACAGAGGAAATTTTTTGTGCTGATTTTTGTAACGTCTGTAAAGGATGACACGAAGCTGTTTCTTGCATTTTGCCAGTATCTATAGAAGAGTTTGTGTACGGGGCTGGAGGCCAGATGTTTGGGGCTAGTCTCACTAAATATGCCAGGATTAATGGTGATTTTATTATGAGTAACATAACGGAGTCGGCCCTGTGCCCCGCCTGAAAGAGAACACAGCCCTAATGCCCCTCCCACAACGCCTGTGGATATGAAATGTTCAGCCCGGAGTCCATAGACTGCATTTGAATTTGTATAAATTGGAAGATATCCAATTATAAATGACCTAATTGATGCACAGAGTAAAGGGTCTCGAATCTCCTTTGTACGGATACCATCACACATAAATATATAACCCATCATAATGAGACAGACATTGCAGCCAAATTAGCGTGTAACAAGGATGAAGTTGAATTAGATCTAGGTATCCCCCATCTCTGCTGTCAAAACTGTATTGGTCCAAACACTCAGGTCTGATAGGAAAGAAATTTCTGACTCCCAATGACCTGAAAGTACTAGTATAAAATGTTATGATTTGTTCAGATCTGAAACATATATCTATGGGCAGCACAAAACGTCCACCAGACTGTTCGACACAGTGGTTGCCAGGATCAGGTTAGGTTACTGTTACCTGTGGCAGGTGGCTACCGTTACCTGTGGCAGGTGGCTACCGTTACCTGTGGCAGGTGGCTACCGTTACCTGTGGCAGGTGGCTACCGTTACCTGTGGCAGGTGGCTACCGTTACCTGTGGCAGGTGGCTACCGTTACCTGTGGCAGGTGGTTACCGTTACCTGTGGCAGGTGGCTACCGTTACCTGTGGCAGGTGGTTACCGTTACCTGTGGCAGGTGGCTACAGGTGACCGATCTCCCAATCCTGAGCACTCAAGGTGCAAACTCTGAGAGCAGGAACTGCGGCATGATCTCCCACACTACATCACTGAATGCCCAGTTATTAGACCATTCAGACCAGTTGGCATGAGGTACCTGGAGCTTTGCAATTACTTTATTCACTCTCGTGTTCTTGAAGATATCCTCACATTGCATCTAAAATTTGCCGGTGCAGACTGCCTATCACATGCCTCTGTATGACTAACCATCCTGTGTGATGGGGATATTTTAGCACCACGCAGCTAACTTTTTGACACACTGTACTCCCCTTCATATAGTCTAGGGCAGCTGCACAAATGCAGACGTACCTAATATATTAATCAAATAATTGTAAAGATTCATTTGTATATAAGACGACAAATTTACGTTATGTTTGACACCTGGTTGATGAGGTTCTGGGAGTTCTTCTACTCCCCAAGCCCGGCCCGAGGCCAGGCTTGACTTGTGAGAGTTTGGTCCACCAGGCTGTTGCTTGGAGCGGCCCGCAGGCCCACATACCCACCACAGCCCGGTTGGTCCGGCACTCCATGGAGGAATAAATCTAGTTTCCTCTTGAAGATGTCCACGGTTGTTCCGGCAATATTTCTTATGCTCGCTGGAGGACGTTGAACAACCGCGGACCTCTGATGTTTATACAGTGTTCTCTGATTGTGCCTATGGCACCTCTGCTCTTCACTGGTTCTATTCTGCATTTTCTTCCATATCGTTCACTCCAGTACGTTGTTATTTTACTGTGTAGATTTGGTACTTGGCCCTCCAGTATCTTCCAGGTGTATACTATTTGGTATCTCTCTCGTCTCCTTTCTAGTGAGTACATTTGGAGAGCTTTGAGACGATCCCAATAATTTAGGTGTTTTATCGCGTCTATGCGTGCCGTATATGTTCTCTGTATTCCCTCTATTTCAGCAATCTCTCCTGCTCTGAAGGGGGAAGTGAGTACTGAGCAGTACTCAAGACGGGACAACACAAGTGCCTTGAAGAGTACAACCATTGTGATGGGATCCCTGGATTTGAAAGTTCTCGTAATCCATCCGGTCATTTTTCTGGCTGTCGCAATATTTGCTTGGTTATGCTCCTTAAACGTTAGGTCGTCAGACATTATTATTCCCAAATCCTTTACATGCTGTTTTCCTACTATGGGAAGATTCGATTGTGTTTTGTATCCTGTATTATGTTTCAGGTTCTCATTTTTGCCGTATCTGCAAGTGCAGGGCAACAGGGTAAAGCAGCATTACAGCAGGATACATCAGCACTACAGCAGGATACATCAGCACTACAGCAGGATACATCAGCACTACAGCAGGATACATCAGCACTACAGCAGAGTACAGCATCACTTCAACAGAGTACAGCATCACTACAACAGGGTACATCAGCAGCACTACAGCAGGGTACAGCAGCACTACGGCAGGGTACAGCAGCAGCAATACAGCAGAAGGGTACAGCAGCAGCACTACAGCAGGGTACAACAGCAGCACTACAGCAGTGTACAGCAGCACTACAGCAGGGTACAGCAGCAGCACTACAGCAGGGTACAGCAGCAGCACTACAGCAGGGCAGTAGCAGCACTACAGCAGGGTACATCACCAGGGTACAGCAACAGCAGCACTACAACAGGGTACAGCAGACTGTTGCAGAGAGCCTGGTGACAGGCAGGCAGCAGCCACCACAGCAGGGTACAGCAGACTGTGGCAGAGAGCCTGGTGACAGGCAGGCAGCAGCCACCACAGCAAGGTACAGCAGACTGTGGCAGAGAGCCTGGTGACAGGCAGGCAGCAGCCACCACAGCAGGGTACAGCAGCAGCAGGGTACAGCAGACTGTGGCAGAGAGCCTGGTGA